GCTGAAGACTTTTCTGGATAAATTTGATACGTAGGAAAGTAGAAGAGATTTAGAAAATACACAAAAAGAGGTCCATCCTATCAACACTGGGTCCCAATTATAATTTAAAGGAATCAAGAGAGAGATACTTTACATCACACCATCAATTTCTCACCTTTATTAGTGTTTACGTACATGGTTTGCATAGCTGCTTTGTCTTTTTTTCATGCACGAAGAATGAAAAAATAAACTGGGTCACTTCTGGCACAAATAATATAAACTAAAAGTAGTTGTTAACATCTTACTGACTACTCCTATATAAAATGAGATAAAATTCAATTTCAAAAAATTATTTTCAATAATTCATAATTTAAACTCTCTGGCATGATAAATCTCATAAAGTAAAACCTAAAAACTTAGATTTACTTTTTGACCTAGTTTACTTTTTGTTTTTGTTACATATGAATGAAACAATACTCATGTACAAAAGAAAAGGGCAAAAAAATTAGGCCAGATGAAAAATTTAGCTAATAAAAAAGTTTACCTGTTGCATATATGAGCCATGATCCATTAGTATTCTCCCATTTTGCATTTACATATAGCTTAATTACCGGAATCTAAGAGCTAACAGCTCTAAGAACTACTTCCTGGCCTGGCACCTATCTCTACATGCACCAGATTCCCTCTAAGCATGTCCAACCACACTTACTGGTCATCTACTAACATGGAATAGCTTTTCTTTTTTCTGCTCTCATGCTCTCTAGGTGTGAGAAGCCCATGGCTCTGAATGGAATTGAGAAATACAATTCTTATTTGGTTTGGATATGTTTCCCCCTCCAAATCTCATGTTAAAATGTGACCCTAATCTTGGAGATAGGGCCTAGTGAGAGGTGTTTGGGTAATGATGGTGGATTCCTTATAAATGGCTTGGTGCCATCCCCAGAGTAGGAAGCAAATTCTCCTACTGGTAGTTTCAAAGAGTGTGAAACCTTCCCCTTACCCCACTCTCCTCCCTCTCTCACAGTGTGGAACCACCTGCTTCCCCTTTGCCTTGCATCATGATTGTAAGCTTGCAGAGGCCCTCACCAGAAGCAAATGTTGAAGCCATGCTTGTACAGCCTGAACATCTATGAGCCAATTAAACCTCTTTTTCTTATAAATTACCCAGCCTTAGGTAAATCTTTATAGTAATGCAAAAAATGAACACAAATTCTAGCCAGAAATAACCAACTCAAGACAGGTGAAGTCTACTCAAACTACAAAAACAAAAGTTACACACTGCCATATTTGACTGTGCTGCATTACAGTAAATAACACTCACATATGATTATAGATCCGCACTTGTATTCTTGCTGCTTAAATCAACTGGAAAACCTGGCTGTGTATGGCTTTTTAGCAAACAAACCAGGATTTCACATAACATTAAGGAAAATAAGCAAGAGTAGAATGTGTTTAAATTTACATCACATCAAATGAAAAGGTTATTAAAAGTTTCAAATAACATAAACGTGGATTTGATAAACACATGTGGTCAGAGGACTGTGTCAGGAGGCCAAAATCACAGATTCAATCACAGACAATGAACAACTATGTTTTGCTATTTTTTTAAATGAAAACCAAGCTGAAGCCTAAGTTCTATCATTCGTCTTTAAAATGTACTCTTCGGAGCATGGGAAAAGGGACAAAGAATTAAACATAAAGATAAATCTAAGACTCCTCCATCACACGACAAATTGTGTTGATGAAAAGATGGCAAAATGTTTAAACAAAAAGTTTACATGTTTTCACTAACATAGTAACAACTAAAGGAAAGTATACCACATGTTAAAATAACAACTGAATATGAAAAATTTAAACCAATATGAGTTTTTCTAAATACTTTCTATGATGCATCTGATCAAACAAGAGTTTTCACTCTTTCTTGGCAGAAAAAACAATGTTGTCTCAGCATGTTTGAGATTTCCTTGCTTCTGGATGGTTAGAAGGGCTGGACTCCAAAGCTATATCTAAAGAGGGAGAAAAGAAAAAAGATGTGATCACTTATCACAGTTTATCAACTCGTTTCTTCAACTGCTGTATGTAGGCCATCTAACTACTTCTACCTTTATTCTTATCCATTGAAATGAATGTATAGACATAAGATGGAGCCAGATAAGATGGCACATGCCTTTTGTCCCAGCTACTCAGGAGGCTGAGATAAGAAAATCCCTTGAATCCAGGTCAGGAATTTGAGGCCAGCATGAGTAACACAGTGAGACCCTCCTTTATTTAACAAAAAAAAAAAAAAAATGAAGAGGTAACTGTTCCCTTTGAGTTGCGCACAATCAACTTTGCATAAAATAAATCAAGATGGCAGTATGTTTTAAAAGACAGGTCTATTTTATAGGCAAAATAAAAGATGCACATTCTGAAGTTTTAAAAATTTTTGAACAGTCAATTCAACATATATGTCACTTCCATGTCATTCTGAAGACACAGAACCTTAGTTCTGTTGAGTAGCCGTCTTCCATAGTCATGTGAGATCTCTATATCCTCATTTCTTTATCAGCAATACATACAGAGAACATACACAGGCCTTATTTGTATTGGAAAGGGCCAAATGAGACATACATAAACTGTGTCATAATCCTAAAGATTAACAATAAAGAGCCTTGTTTTTGGGCTCTCATCCAACACTACCCATCTATCAACCAGAGTATAAGTTTACACAAGTACTTACATGCTTTGTGTATAAAGGTATAATCAATTCATTCACATAATGTATTTGTTTATGCTAAAGGAAATCCTTAAATATCTTGAAAGGTGAGTACGGTACTTTCAAGTTACAAAGTCATTTTCATCATGAGTCTTAGTTATCCTACCTCTTAAAAAATTGAAAGCCCAAAGTTTAAATAGAAAAGCTGTAAGACATTTCCTCTACAGTAATGAAATCTCTGGCATTTAAGTGAAACCAATGAGCCAACTGGATTTAATATCTTTGTGATACAATGTTTTCTATTTTAAAAATTCTAATTTTTATTCAAGAACCATATTGTCACCCAGAATTACTTTTACTTAGATTCCTATCTTTGTAAAATTTTACAGACAAACCAACTGATTGTTTTCTCTTTTCAACCCCCTCCCAGGCCCCTGCCTCTCCCAACAGTGTAGAGACTCAAAAACTTCAACTTTCTTATCTTTGAACAAAATGCTATTGTCAGGAGGGGGAAGGACAAAGGGAAAGCCATGGCAGCAAACACTCTTACACAGGCAAGGTCTGGCATTTTAACCCTCAATCTTTATAATACACATTAAAAGTCTACATTGGCATTTCATGTCTTTTCAAAGTTTTGACCATGAACAATCCCCACCTCTTTTTTAGAACAAGGAGGAAAATAAAGTTTTTTTTTTTTAGACATCTAATATGTGTTTAATAGATGGCTAAGGGTGAGCTTCCTGACACTGTAATTTACTCAGGAGCAATCTGAATTTTCTGAGTATATTTATAATAAAATCCTACTGGTAGACTTTAAGCTATTATAGAAGACAGTAAGTTTTGTTTTGTTTTTTTTTTTTGTGCCCATTACATTGCATCATGTAGTTTAGCATTTAACTTTGTCTAAATCCAAGCTTGACTGGTTTGTCTATGTTCCACATAATTGAAAAAAATATTGGGATTAAATGAGGTAGATTCTCAGATGTGCTTCCTGAGTTATGTTGGTCCAGTAGATACTGGAATGGAGAGCGAATGTCTTTGACTTTGTTGTCCTTCCATTGAACCTGTAATCCCAGCATTTTGTGAGGCCAAGGTGGGAGGATCTCTTGAGCTCAGGAGTTTGAGACCAGCCTGGGCAACATGGCAAAACCCCATCTGACAGGGTCACAGAATAGAAACACAGCCATGAAAACTGTCCATCCATGGGTCAACGTTGCTACAGGGAGTTAGAGAGGCACAAGACAGGCAGGAGAGGGCTCTCCCTGACCCACTTTTTTTCTTTTTTCCTAGTTCAACAAATCTTTACTAAGTGCTTCTCAAGCATTCTCATTCTATTTTTAAGGCAATCTATTTTAATAAAAGTTATTACTAAACATTAATTTTAAAAAACTTATTGTGTAAGAGTCATTCATGGTTGTATCAGATCATGTAAAACGTTTCTAGTTTAACAAATCTTTACTAAAGTGCCTCTCAAGCGTTCTATTTTTTAAAAACTTGTTAATTTTTAAAAACATGTATGATTCATTAATGAGTTCATTAAGGAGGAAAATAAACCTGGAGACACATTTTGTGTTACAGTAAGAATTTTAAAGTAATCAGAGCATCATGGGTAAACTGCTTTGGGGAAACCCCCCCCACAACACACACCCACTTTTCTGCAGCTCTGGCTGTGACATTTCACACCTCTCACAATTTAAGTACCTTCCATTTTCTTTTCTTCTGTGATAAAATTATGGTTAGAAGAAACTAAGCAGCTTCTATCAAGGTGACTTACAGCAGCCCATTAAGAATACCATATAGTCTTTCGCATGGAAACCTCCATTCTGATTTTAAGAAATCCCCAAATATCTGAATATGAATTGTGCTGAGATTTAGCTACCTTAATACAGGAAAAAAAATAGGCACTTATCTGGATCCTCCACTTAGGTACCATCTGGATAGGTACAAAGAAAGAACGAGACGGGTACTGGAAAATTGGGATGTTTGAGTTTTTATTGAGAAATGGGACAGAATATTTCAAAGAAGACTTATCAAAGAGCCACAAAATAAAAAATAGAGCTACAGACAAGAAGAGCCATGAATAAATGCTCCCATGCCAGCCTGGGAGAATGAGATGAGGGAGCAAGAACTGAGCATTTGGGAGGGGAGGGGAAAAGAAACTGAGTGGACTCTGTGGAAAAAGACTAAGAGGTGGGAATGGGAACGCAGGGCAGAGCCAGCCTTTGTTCCTGGCCAGCCCTGGGAAAGCGGGCTACAAGCAGAAAGGAGCTCAAAGTGGGGGATGCCTCCCAGGGGACCCTGGGGACAACATCAGCCAGAGTTGTGCCAAGGGCACAACCGCTTACCTTCAAGCATCTCCTGGTCATGGATGTGGTGCATGTGGAGGTCCTCACCAGCTTCAAAAGTCACTTCAGCAGGGGCTACAATGGGACTCACCGGTGCTCCTGCCATCCTGTCCCCAGCTGCTGCCTCTTAGATCTCAGACTCATGAGGAGAAACTAGCCCCTGGTGCTGGTCCACCTTGGGGTGCACATAACAGCTCAGTACATTCCTCATGAGCGCCTCTATTCCTGTCTGCCACCACCTGTGCTTCTGCTCACAGCATTGGCCACACACTCCTGCTGCCCTAGGCTGAGGCTATGCTGCACTTGTAGAGATGGTATCGCCCGCTGCTCACCTGCCCATCCCACAGCCTGGCCCCAGCTGGGACTCAGGCCAAGGCCCGCCCCCGCCACCTCCTCTGAGTTGACTTGTCTAGGAGGGTGAAGACCAGCCGGCTTATTTAATAGGTTGTGAACCCAACAAGCGCTGAAAGACCACAACAACTGCCTGAAGAGAGTAAAGACAGAGGAGCTCCTCCTCCTTCTGCAGTTACCTACAGACTGAAGCCCACTGGCCCAGGTGAGAACCCAGGCATGTGACTCACAGTGCCCCACCCCACACCTCACAATGCCCCACCCTAACTGCCTACCCTCCCCCACAGCTCAGAATGCCCCTGCCTGGGCTGCCCTACCCTGTGGCTTATGATGCTGCTGCTCTCCTGGCTCCTCATGTAGTGCCAGTGGGACTGAGGTTTTCATTCATCACCAGATTCCTGAGCTTTTTAGTCCTAAGAAAAGCACCCAGTGGTTTGTTACTGGAAGCCATCTTACCCTATGAGTTCTATATGAAGCCTCAGGCAGTAGAGTGGGTCCCATTAGCCACCAAGTTGAACAACTGTATTTGCTGACTGAATGTAAATACATGTGAATTGTTGATTGTGTTTGTAATGAGATGCTCCTCTCCTGTCTTCCAATGAGTGGTAGTTTTTGTCGGCAACTTGACCACAGCAATCCCTGGCACCCAAGCTCTACTCTCACTGAAGTATTATGGCTGTGTGTTTTGAATGACACCTTAGGACCCAACCTGCCTCCACCTCCTTCTTCATGAAATAGATATCTAACTTGTCCTTCCAAGCTCTGAAATGCTGAAACCTATCCACTCCCTTTTTCCCCCTCTGTTTCTTCCTTCCATGGTAGGGACTTTCAGATTTTCTTTCTTTTGCTAACAAAGCACTAACCATGACTTTGTCAGGCAAAATCAAGAGCCATAAAGTGGGGTATCACAGTCCTAACTCAGTAAAGATGAATACTCATCATCTGGCAAGCAGTATGTGCCTGACAGTGTCCCCACTGTGCTCTGCTCATTTAACCCTCAGAAACAATCTCATTTTACAAATTTTACAGAAGAAGTTGAAATGGGAAAGGTAAGTAACCTCCCCAACGTCACATGACTGCTCAGGGTGGGGCTATGATTTGATCCCAGGTAGTCTGAATTCCCCAAATCCTCAAGCATGATTATCAGAAAGGGTATTAGTCCATTTTCACACTGATTCTGAGAAATACCTGAGGTTAGGTAATTTATGAAAGAAAGAAAAAGTTTAACTGACTCATAGTTCCACATTGGCTGGGGAGGCCTCAGGAAACTTACAATCATAGCAGAAGGGGAAGCAGGCACATCTTACATGGTGGCCACACAGAGAGTATGAACATGTGAAGGAGAAACTGTCAAACACATATAAAACCATCAGATCTCAGCTGGGTATGGTGGCTTATGTCTGTAATCCTAGCACTTTGGGAGGCCAAAGCGGGTGGATCACCTGAGGTCAGGAGTTCCAGACAAGCCTGGCTAACATGGTAAAATCTCATCCTCTACTAAAAATAAGAAAAATCAGCCGGGCATGGTGGCACATGCATGTAATCCCAGCTACTCAGGAGGCTGAGGCAGGAGAACCACTGGAACCCAGGAGGTGGGCACTGTAGACAGCCAAGATCATGCCACTGCACTCCAGCCTGGGTGACAGAGCAGGACTCCATCCCCAAAACAAAACAAACCTCATAAGATCTCAAGAGAACTCACTGACTATCACAAGAACAGCCTGAAAAAAACTGCCCCCATGATCCAATCACCTCCCACCAGGCCCCTTCCTTCAATATGTGGGACTTATGGGGATTAAAATTCAAGATGAGATTTGGGTGGGGACATGGCCAAACCATATCAGAGTGTAAAGGCAAAAAGTCAAGCTTGGAGAATTGACATTGTAGATTAGCATATTTTTAAAAGAACAACCTTTTTTTTTCTTTTGAGACAGAGTCTTGCTCCATTGCCCAGATGGCGGTACAATCTTGGCTCACTGCAACTTCTGCCTCCCAAGTTCAAGTTATTCTCATTCAAGTGCCTCAGCCTCCCAAGTAGCTAGGATTACAGTAGCCCACCACCGCACTTGGCTAATTTTTGTATTTTCAGTAGAGATGGGGTTCCACCATGTTGGTGAGGCTGACCTCAAATTCCTGATCTCAAGTGATCCACCTGCCTTGGCTTCCCAAAGTGCTGGTATTATAGGCATGAACACTGCTCTCGCCAGAACAACCTTTTTTTATGTGGATTTTTAAATGCCTCCCCTTCATTCAACATTGATTAAGTTCATTCTACATGCCAGACACTGTATGTGTAAAACAGTACCAACTCTCAATGAGTGTAGGCAGATATACAAATAAAGGCTTCACGAGTTCCCATTTTCTGAGACCACACTGCTGGACAGTGTATGAACCTGAGACATAAACCCACCTCTATTTGACCCCAAATTTGATGCTGGGGTGATTTTAAGTTTATGCTGAGAATTTGAGTCATTGAGCCATACAAGGGTGAGGAGTCTCTGCCAGATGTGTGGGGAGTGGTCTGGATAATAAAGAAGAATTGAAGGAAGCAACAAGACCAATTAAGAGACTTTATCTAAAGGAAGAGTAATTCTAACGGCACTGGCAGTAACAAAAGTGGAGGAAAATGTTTGTGATCATTTGGGAGACAGACTAGGAAGTGCTTGGTCATGAGATGTGAAAGAAAAGGGAAAATAGAGGAGAAACACAGTTGCTCAGGCTCTGAGCTGGGGAAGACTGGGTACGTAGTGGTGCCTTCCTCCTGGTAGAGAATGTAGGAAGAGAAATAGGTAAGGAGGAAAAGATAGTTTTTACTCTCAGCGTCACATTAAAATGGAACCCCCTGGTCAAAAGTGGAATATAAATCTCTACAGGCTAAGTCCATTTGTGACATCCCAACATATGTTTTCAAAAATAACACACATACTAAATCAAACCATTAAGACTAACTGGGGAAATTTCCTAAAATTTACATGCTAAAAATATCACCAGTTTTCATTTATTACTTTCATGGAATAACTATGAATCTATGGTTATAGCAAATGAGACATCTTGGATAAAATAAAGCTAATACATGAAACAAAACATTAAAAATTATATTGTCCCCAGAGAATAGAGAAAGCCTCTGAAGTCATGGGCGTGGAAGTGACTGCCTTGAGAAGTTGTGTATAGTAAGGAGAACTGGAAAGAAAGAAGACCTGGAAAATAGGGTGATTTACATGGCATTAAGTAAAGCTCGCAAAAGTGAGCGCTCGGAGTCAAAGGGACCTGCGTATGATCAGGAACAGCTGTTCTTATTAGTCATTAGAAAGGAGATAATGTCTGCTTCTAATTTCTGTAACAGAAGCACCTAGCATAGTACCTGGTCAACAGATACTCAATATAAATTATCCCAATTCACTGAGTCAAATTTTGCCAGGAGGGCAGGAAAGCTACAAATCAGCTATGGCAACTTAGTGACTGGACTTGTGCGTGTGTGTAAGTGAGCCGGATGTCAGGCAGTGGGTAAAGCAGTGAACCGGAGGTGAGAAAACAATGACACAAACTGAGGGCTTCTCTCCCCAAGTATTTGGCTGAGAAGAGAGATGCAGTAGTGGGTCAAGGCAGATATGTGGTAAAGAAAGCCTTTCATTCCAAGATTCAACAAAAGCATGAGTATACTTCTATGTTAAAGGGAAAGAGCCAACAGAGAAAACACACTTTTGAGGTTAGAAGAGAAGGAAGAACAAATGCACAAGTGGCCCCAAAAGGCATAGGTGCATGCAATCTGGATAAGGAACAGATTAGCTTCGGATTCCTATAAAAGCAAGGAGGGAGAAAGGACTTTGTATCTCTAGAGATATTTCTGGTAGAGGAAAGGTTTAGGAAGAGATCTCCTGATGACCTTTATTTTAACAGACTTTTCAAAAAACTACTGTGGGAAAAAGGATTTTTATTATAGAAAATCCCACACTTCTTGATATACCTAACAAAAAAAAAAAAAGCTTGATACACTAAACAAAACCCAAATAATGTCTTCCCTAAAAGTGGGCAACTTGAAAAGCAATTTGAGCAAAAATCAAGGAGTTCATTTATAAATAAGTATATCCAAAAAGTGAAAGATGGGCATAATTTTTCCCACAGGATTAAGAGAAATAACAACAACTTTAGGGGAAGAAGAAAAAATAATTAAGAAGAAAATTACATGCAATTGTAAAATGTGTGAATATTTACAAATTCTAACATAAGTAACTACAAAAAGGACTAGAAGAATCATTATCATAGGAAGCAAAGGGTCACTTCAAAAATCAGGGAAGGAGGCATGATTCATATTTAATTTAATTCTGTTGAAAATACGTAAATAAAGTTTGAGGACAAAAATAGGTGATATGTTGAAATGTGGGACACCACAGTGGAAAGAAAAAGAATTTAAGAAAGTTCAGTTTCGGTAACCAACGTCAAGTACAATCCTCAGGACCTAGTGGCTACAACTACGTTAATATTGTCTGATGACCTAGAAATGTCATTAGATACTATTTTGAATAATTCTTGTAGATTTGAGATGATATCTATTTAAAGTTACAAAATGGTGCCTGCACTTAACAAGAGACACACTCAAAAAAAGATATCCATGACCTTAAAAATGGAAGAATTTTAAACTTTCTAAACAGGAAAATATTGGGAAGGACTGTTATGAAAACAGAGTTTAAAACACTTTGATTGAAGGCAATACTTCTTAATACTGAAGTACATTAAGAAAAAATCCTATCATTCCATGACATTGGCAAGTCTGACAGAGTACTGTGATTTGAATTAATCAGAAGTTTGATCCTGTGAAATGAGCTGAGACCTTGTTTATGATTCCAGAGTAAACTAATTAATTCATCCATTTATTCAATACCCATTTAATACTTGAGCCCTTAGTAAACATGCTGTACACTGTGTGTATGTGCTGCGGATATTGCTTGGACCAACATAAACAAGGTTCTTATTCTTGTAAAACTTTATCTTCCAGTAAGGGAGTTAACAGACTGTGTTGTCCATCACTCCTACCTGCATTGCTAGGATTACTATTGATTTTCAGCTATTGGATCTTCATTCCAGACATTAGGATACAGAAAGAAAAGGAGGAAAGTTTTTTAGAAGGTACTCACAGCACAGTGCTTACAAATTATTGGCTTAAAACTTAGTCATATGGCCATACCTAGCTGCAGGGGAGGTTCATATATATACAACCCTATAGCGAGGGTAATGAATACAGAAGAAAACAATTGGATATGG